CCCCCCCCCCCCCCCTCATACTTCTCCTTTAATCATTTTTTTTTAAATCAGATAATTATTTTATAACAATTTTTTTTAAACCATTACATTCATATACAATTACAAAATAAACAAAACAAATCAGTTTAATAATTTGTATTGAGATTGTAGTCCATCCCGGGAGCGAGCTTGGAGCGGTGACTACTTTACAGCACCCACAGGGACCATGGGGAACAGAAGTAGTCCCCCCTCCAGAAGGAAGGACAGTGTCAGAGATGATTGGAGGATCTACAGAAATAAATGATAACATAAAAATAATATAAAATTATAAAAAGCATCAAAGCACAAAAAAAATTGATCAAATACCAGCACACAAAAAATGTAAAAAAAATTCCACAAATAAATAAAACACTAATGGAAAAAAAAAATCAAGCAAACAACCCCAAACACACTCACTAAATTAAAAGTGACAAAAATCAATTTTTTTTTGTAAGCAAATGTCAACCAAGCAGGAGAAATGTTGCGGATGGTAAAATCAATTTAGCTAAAAAATAACTCCGGCTATTTTTAATAATAATTTTCCAGTCATTGCTCCAGTTTCCATTATCACTTTGGGTTCAGTAAGAGGAATAAGCTGTTACTCTTTGGCTGCAGTGGATGCCCTGACTCGGCGGTGGAATTCCTAAGATATTCAAGAAGACTGGAAGAGGATTCAAACTTCCGTTATCCCAAAATATATTTTTTTTAAATCCCAAAAATGTAACAATTTTGCCCCGGACTTCATATTTAACTCTCTTAGAATAAAATGACGTCTAACATCAAAAATGACAAGTGCGAAGCAGCTTATAACTAACATTAACACAGCAGTTTTTCACTTCCTCTGTAACATAGTTACATAATTAATAATGAATTCATCCTTGCTGATTATGCCAATAGATCCATCGTTTCTTCCAATTCTGATGACAACGCTGTCTGCTCTGCATTGAATCACACACAGCGTTGTCACCCCATGGACAGAGATTAGTCATGCACATTTAGTTTTAGACTTAAAGTGAAGAAAATCAAGAATTAAAGCCCAACTATTTTTAAACAGTTACATCAACGGGTTTTTTTTTTTTAAAGAATTAAAACCATTTCAATAAATGATCACTGTATGCACACCTGACTTTTTTAAATGGCTTGTCCCAAACCCTGCAGTAACAGTTACTTTTGCTGCTGGACAGCTTGCTCTGCATGTAAATTTGGAGAGAAATAAAAATAAAGACTGAAATTAAAAATAAATAAATCAATATAAATAAAATATATTGATAATAAAAATAAATAAAATGCATTTAAAGAATGTTTAATGTAATAAAAAAAAAAAATAATAATAAAATAGTTTGAGCTTTCTTCAAGTGTATATAAGATTCTGTCCATCAGTTCATGCGAGGGTCACTCTAGAGTCAGTGAAAGTTTAGTCCCATTGGAAGGACGTGACAAAATGAGTTTATTTACACTGAAAAGCCAAATCTGTCAAAGCGTATTCACTATAAATACGTTGTGCGTCAATGAAAGCAGGTTTCACCTGCAACAAAAGGAAAGAAGTTCTCGGTGCTGCAATGATATCACTCACTAGAAGGAATCTGTTGTTGGTCGTATAACATAAACCTTGGAGAGTGGGTTTGACATGTTTTCAGGATTCGGTTTACACAAGGATTTGGCCATAATTGGAGCACTTGAAGAATGTTGAGCTTTGCCATTTTATGTCAGGGGGGAATTCTTTGTATTTTTTTCTCCTCCAGTCATGTATATTAGAATTAGCTTTGCTTCGCAGGACGGGGC